ACACACACACACACACACACACACACACACACACACACACACACACACACACAGAGAAAATGAGGGTTGGTCTCCAAGGGGGAGGAGGGGATAAGACACAGGAACACGGAGCCTGAAACCTCTTTCAATTTTTGTCCCACCCCTCCAGGCTGTTAACTTTCTCCCGAATTAGAATTATGAAATTATAAATTATGAAAAAAGAATCACAGTTTCTAAGTGAGAACCATCCGTAATTCCTGAAGTCTCTTTTCTTTTTTCTTTTCTTTTTTTAACCGCAGAGGCTCTTTGAGAGTTGAATGGCTTGAAAAAAATCTTCTCCGGGGATTCTCTGTGCAACTCCATCAGATCCCAAGACTGAGAACAGATTGAAAGAAACAACCACCACCTTTGGAGACCCAGAAGATTTCAGGGCCCTTGTGCATTTCTGTCAGAGAAGATTGGAAATGGATGCAAACCAGCCAGCCTGGGAGAGAGTAGGAAAAAGCCCTACTGCTGCTCAGCTTGGGGAGATCTGGGCCGGAGCGCAGCAGAACATCCTGGAGGAAGCCCTCAGTTCTGAGATCCAGCATTGGCGCTTCAGGAACAGCCTCTTTCAGGAGGCCGAAGGACCACGAGAGCTTTGCAGCCGCCTTCACCGCCTTTGCTGGGGATGGTTGCTGCCCGAGAAGCACACCAAGGCTCAGATATTGGACCGGGTGATCTTGGAGCAGTTTCTGGCCATCCTGCCCAGGGAGATGCAGCGCTGGGTGCGGGAGTGCGGAGCGGAGACCACTTGCCAGGCGGTGGCCCTAACTGAAGGCTTCCTGCTGAGTCAGGTGGAGGAGGAACAGGGAGGGTACCAGGTGAGAGACATTCGTCTTGGGAAATATGGAGCGATCTTAATGTAATTGAAATCTTAAATGTCTCCCTAGGAATTTTGGGGATTAATAATGCGATGAGACAGTTGGAGAACCTTATAAGTGACATTGCTCTTGCGTTCTTCCAGACAACATCTCTGGAGCAACTCTTCCATCGTCCTCTTCCATTTCAAATTATGGACGACACAAAAGGTCTAGCAACATTGTGGGGCAGGAAATGAAATTCCAGCTCTTAACTTTGCTTCTTCGTCTATGCTTCAGGTTCCGAGGTCTTTCCTGGAGACGGGTATCAACTGTCCTGAAGAAAAGATGGATCCTGCAAATCCCTCTTACAGTCTGTGTCTCAGAAGGATTTCCAAGGTGGAAGATCAATGCCAGGACAACTCAATAGGTAAGGGAAGATCCTTCTATATAATTGGAAGTTTTCCACGGAGATTCTGTTTGTTCTCCATTTTCTCTATCTTCTCATGTGTAGTCATTGGACATTCTAGAACCGTGATGGCGAACCTATGTCACGCATCCCTGAAGTGGCATGCAGAGCCATGTCAGCTGACACGTTGTCAGCATTCCAAGTATCATGTAGAATTAAATCAGAGTCCAAGGCAAAACGATCCTTAAAGTTCCAATTTAATAAA